AATTTCTAAACTAGAGTCATTAAAGTCTGATTAGGAAGCAATGAAATCACAAGGATACAAAAAACTGAACAGTGTTTGAAACTAGTGTGAACAGGAATTGGCATCAAAGTGGACTTCTGACTAAAAAGTGCCTTGCAATTAACGTTTATATGTGCTGGGGTATAGGGGTGTCCACTTGTGGGTCCACGTGACGGATGTTAGGTCACTCACTTGCTTTCAGGTGTACATTACGTCTAGCATCCACTAAATGGCACCCAACTCCCACATGTGGCTCACAGAAGTTAGACTCTTCCTAGCGGCCACACCCCAGTAACTGCCTCGACCGGTAGTCAAAACTAGGTGAGGGTTTCAGTGTGTGCATCTCTGTACACGGTAAGCTCGGCTCCACTGGCCGGATGGATCGTCGCCTCGGTATCTCCGGGATGAGGCTCGTCTGGAACACCATGGGAGGCCACAAGGTAAGTTAGTCCCCCCCCCCCCAGGTAAGCAAACATTGTTTTGCTGCCTTTGCATTCGCCTGTTCTTGCCTGCTTACTTACTGTCTGCTTGTTCGTGTCCGTGCTTACTGTAAGCTAAGTGCCATTCTGTCGAATTTGTCTACTCATCGATTGTATTTCAGTAGCCAGTCGACCTAGCGAATGGAGGTAAAGCTCTGCATCCCGTCACTCTACCCTTCCCGAATCCCCCCTTTTGGCTTACGGCGATGCTGTAGGCAGTCCCTGTGGTCGCTCTCCCACCAAACAAAAGACGTGGCCCATAGTGGAGTTCGGCAACCGTCTGGGACAATTCAGCAGCCCTATTTAGGGAGGGCACTGCTCACGCCCGCAAAAGGGGAGGGACTAGAAAATCTGCCCTAAACAAATGCTGGGGTTCAACGCCGTCTGCAGGCTGACCGTAGCCTCAGGCGCAAAGCTCACGGTCTAAACAACCAAACAAGAAACAACACTCTCTCTCTCTTTCCTCTCCTCCCCGCAGCCCCACTCGCCAGACTCCACTCACTCCGGCAGTCTGAAATGTTCGTTCTCTTTTAGGCAATCCCAAGAGCAACCGACCGAAACGAAGGACGACGCTATTGGTTCGGAACTGGAGCGCTACAAGGTGGACATCGCTGCACTCAGGCGACCGGGTTCTCCGAATAAGGCCACCTGGAGGAAGTGGGTGCCGACTACACCTTTTTCTGGAACACGTGTCCCCATGGCAGAGCGACGGGACGCTGGCGTCGCCTTTGCTTTCCAGAATGACTTCGTGGGATGCCTACCCTGTCTGTCGCAAGCCATCAACGATTGCCTGATGGGCCTCCGCCTGCCTCTCAGCGGAGGCGAATTCGTCACCATCGTCCGTGTCTACGCCTCCTCCCCCCAGATGACCAGTTCTGACGAGACGAGGAATAAATTCTACGAGGATCTGCACGCCCTCCTGGCGCCTGTGTCGAAGGCTGATAAGTTGATTGTCCTTGGTTACTTCAACGTCCGCGTCGGCACAGACCATGCTGCCTGTAGAGGAGTGGTGGGTCCCCATGGTCTCGGTGACTCCAACGACAGTGGCCTGCCCCTCCTACGAACCTGCGCAGAACACCGGCTGATCCTGACCAACATCCACTTCCGCGTCCCGATGTGAGAGGAGGTCACTTGGATGTACACTCAGTCGCGACAGTGGCACCTGCTGGACTATGTCCTCGTCCGGAGGCGAGACCAGTGGGACATGCTGGTAAAAAAGGCGATTTCGGGTGCCAACGTGTGGACCGACAATCGTTTCATCTCCAAGATGCGGATTCGCAAACAGCCTGGCAGGTGACCTCAAGGTAAGCGACTCCCAGGTAAGTTTAATATTTCTTTGTTGTCTCTGCCTGCTTACCATCTCTATTTCATCTATTTCAGTAACGAGCTAGCCAAACGGTTAGCCAACCTTCCAGTCGTCCCTGCCGCCGCTGACGAGAACGCCTCGGTTGAGAAACGATGGTGTCAACTACGGGACACAGTCCAGCCGACGACTCTGGTCGTCTTCAGTCGCGCATTTCGCCAACACCAGGACTGGTTTGATGACAACTACGCCGCCATCAGCAAGCTGTTCGTCGAGAAGAACCGCCTGCGCAAAGCCTACGTCGACCGCCCGACCGATGACAACAAAACGGCCTTCTACCATAGTCGTCGCCCTAAGCAGTAGTGACTGCGCGAGATGCAGTACTCCTGGACGGCTCGCAAGGCCGAGAAGATCCAAGGCTACGCGAACCATAACGAATGGAAGAACTTCTTTGCCTCTATCAAGGCTGTCTACGGTCCGCCAAATAAGGCAACTGCCCCTCCTCTCAGCGACGACGGCAGGACCCTACTCACTGAGAAGACACAAATTCTACAACGATGGATCAGACACTTCAGAGGCGTCCTCCACCATCTCCGACGCTTCAATCGCCCGTCTGCCTCAAGTGGATACCAACGCTGATCCCGACTACCCGCCCTCTCTCCAAGAAGCAATCAGGACCGTGCAGCCGAGCTCCAGTGAGAAAGAGTCCGGCCCAAACGCTATCCCTGCTGATATCCAAAGGCACGGTGGTCCACAACTCGTGGATCATCTGACGGTGCTCTTCCCGGAGATGTGGCGTCAAGGAGAATCTCCGCAGGACTTCAAGGACGCCACAATCGCGCACCTCTGTAGGCGGAAAGGTAATCGCCAGCTCTGCGACAACCACTGAGGTATCGCCTTACTGAACATCGTCGGGAAAATGCTCGCTCGCATTCGCCTCAGCTGTCTAAACAGCCATCTGGGTCTCCTGTTGGAAAGCCAGTACGACTTCCCCCCTCATTGTGTGACCAATTACATGACCTTCGCCGCCCGCAAACTGCAGGAGAAGTGTCAGGAGGTGCGGACCCACTTCTACTCTACCTTCATGGATCTGACGAAAGCCTTTGATACGGTGAATCGTGAAGGACTGTGATAAATCAAGCATAAATTGGGCTGTACGGAACGGTTCACTCAGATGGTACGTCGGTTCCACGGTGGCATGATGACACGAGTCGCGGACGATGGGGCTGCCTCAGAGGCATTTGCAGTGACCAACGGAGTGAAGCAGGGCGGCGTCCTCTTGCCTGCCCACTTCAGCCTCTTGCTCTCTGCCATGCTGATAGACGCCTACCGCGTCGCCAACGGGATGGACGGCCACTCCTTAATCAGCTGCTGATACGCTTCCAGTCACGCGTATCCATAACGACCGTACGCGAACTTCTGTTCGCCGACGACTTCGCCCTATATGCAACTGCCGAAGGAGACATGCAAAGAAGCATGGATCTCTCCTCCGCTGCCTGCAAGAACTTCAGTCCGATCATTAACACGGAGAAGACTGTGTTTATCCACCAATCGGCACCCAGCACTGCCCACCACGTGCTCCAAAGAAGCGTAAACAGCGCTCAACTGCAAGTACTGGACAACTTCACGTATCAGGGTAGCATCCTCTCTCGCAGCACCAAAATCGACGATGAAGTGGTCCGCCGGATTTCCAAGGCCAGTCAAACCTTCGATCGTCTTCAAAACACAATCTGGAGTCGTCACGGTCTTCAACTTATCACAAAACTGAAGATTTACAAGGCCGTCATGCTACCGTCGTTGCTGTATGGAGCAAAAACCTGAACGGCGTACATGAAGCAGGCACGTAGACTCAACCACTTCTACCTCAGTTGTCTTCGTCCAATACTGAAGCTGAGGTGGCATGTGCGGATCCCAGACACGAACGTACTGGAGCGGACTGCAAGTCTCAGCATCCACGCTATGCTGAGGCCAATTGGGCTACGCTGGAACGGACACCTCGTACGGATGGATGACAGAAGGCTACCAAAGCGACTCTTTTATGTAGATGTCGCGACGGCTTCGCGCAGACAAGGAGGTCAAATCGGGAGCCACAAGGATACTCTGAAAACCTTCCAGAAGCCCCTGCAGATCAACCCGCCTCACAGCGCCGACGCTCAACACCTCCTACTTGTTCACGATGCCAACGGACATTCCGGGCGCCAATTGGGCTTGTTGGACAATTTTTGGCCAACTGCAGCACCCGGACTGCATCAACCGTCGTCTCTCTGTTCACCTCTCCCCCGCCTCCCACGCCGTCAAGTAACGTTGACCGCCCTCCCAAACCACGATTACCATCCTCCTCCTCCTCCACCGCCTCAACGTCTGCCGCTGTGGCGTCTGTCATGCCCATCAACCCTACACACAATTCTGACACACCATCAAACACCAACACCACCGCCGTCAACGCCAGTGATTAGGACCTGGTCTATAGCTGTCCTTATTGCGATCGCACTTCCGCCTCACACATCGGCCCGGTCGACCATCGCACAGCGACTGGCGAACCAGTGTCTGAAGCACCAACCCACACCCGCCGCATCCGCCCCCACTGTCCTCACTGCCCTCGCACATTCATGTGCCGCGTGGGCTATTCGGCCACATTCGTATCCACGGGAGTGAAAATGACTTCGGCTCCGACACGCTTAGCACATCCAGCACACCCACCGTGCTCAGCCCAACCCACGCCCCGTCGTCCACCACCACCACCACCAGCTCCACCGTCTCCATCACCTAAGCTAAAACTGACACCGCCGACTTCTCATGTTCACACTGTCCTCGTACAATCACCTCACTCATCGGCCTGATCGGTCACTTGCGAGTCCATCGCAAAGAGACTGGCGTATCAGCGCCTGGAGCACCAACCTACACCCGCCGCATCCGCCTCCACTGTCCACACTGCACTCGCACATTCACCCACCGCATGGGTCTATAGGGCCACATGCGCGTCCACGAAAACCTGTGGTAGACAACCGCCGGCTGAACCACACCATCACAGTCTCCCTCACCAGCATCTCACCGCACAACATCACCCACCTCATCCCCCAACTGCAAACTCCCACGGAAGTGGGAAGTGTACGTCTCGGCTCCTGCTCCATGCCGTTCCCTTGCTGCATGTTTGATCGGTGTCTGAGAAGAAGACGTTACGTCGAGCGCCGTGGTTCGGAAAGCAGTCGACTGACGCCCCAACGCAGTCCACGCAGTCTACCCAATTGTGTGTGTTTTATTTGTAGTGCCTGTCAGTCAATGATTGTTTGGTTACCTAACTTTGAAGGGTGATGGGCCAGGTTAGATGCAGGGTCACGTGTCGCCCTTCTAGGTTAAAAGGTCTGACAGTGTGTGTTATGCCAGTATCAGCAAACCATGGCCCTCGCATACTGGTAGGCACTGGCAGTTCCATGATATCTGGTTGTCTGCCGGTAGATGCATGTGCTCTCCCGCTAGGTAAACAAGTGGTGGGTATGGCTGCCCAATCATCCTCGACTTCTGACTCCTGTTGGGGTGTTGTTGTTAATGTTGGTCAGAAACCTGGTAATTTGCTGTGTGGGCCAGGGAGTGTGGAGTGGAATGCCAAGGTGCGGACGCGACCGTGCCATCAACCTGCGCCTTCCCTCGCCTCCGGTATGCTTGGCCATATCTTGAAACCGGATCCAGATGGGGGAGGAGGGAGTGCGGTAAATACTGCGCTAGTTTACATTCATTAGGAATCAATTCACACGCAAGCCGTCGTGTGTGCTTCATCTTTCAGTGGAGCACACGGTGGACATCGTCGGTAACGACGGACGATGGTCGAACTGTCGATATATGTTGGCCCCGGACATATAGCCCTGTATGAACTCTCCGTACTTCTAACTTCAATCTTTAAAGCTTTAAAACTTGGATTCGTTCAAGCGCGCAGCATGGACTAGAATTTGCAATTCAATCTAAGAAGACTAATAGTGCGTGAACAACAGCCTTTCGAATCTTTTTTGAAACAGCATTACTGAACATAGGCTGATCTTGTATTTGCACTGCGTTATTTTGACTTGCTCCATCGACACTCCCAGATACTGACTCCTACGTAACGAGTGTTTTTGGGACCTATGCGCCTTAAAGGTCATCCTAAATGAATCTCAGAAGATGAAGATGCGATCACTGGAATAAGAAATTTATTTGCCTGACGTTTCGGATTCTCACTCGAATCCATCATCAGAGACATTCGCAGATAGAGGTTAAGGTGGCACCAGGAGTGCAGTATTTATAGCACGTGGCTGCCGTGGGACCGTATGCGCACTGCAATTAACAGTTCTCGCAATCGACGCTGGGGTCGTAATTGATGCGGCGGTGGCTTGGCGGTCCGAGTCCGAGTCCGAGTCGTTAATGGCCGCGATTTCGTCATCCGTGCTGGATGCTGGTGTGACGATTGCTCGGCAAAGTGGCTCACTGTCACCGTGATAATTGCTCGCCCGCGCCCTCCTCACGTGACTGATTCTCCTGCCCAGGGAAAATCGCAATACGGAATAGGGTACCGGGAGGTCATTGTGTTTGTTGATGGATTGCGGGCCTGAGAACCATGACTCGAGCAGCTCGCGGCTCACGCGGTTGTCACCCCTTGCGAGGATTTCGGCCTCTTGAAATTTGAAAATATGGCCGGGTCCCGTCGAGTGTGCCGCCACCTGAGAGTTAGCGTCTCCCCGCCTCACTGCTGCTGCGTGCTCGGCAAGTCGCGTACGGAGTAATCTCCCAGTTTCTCCCACATAATTGCTTTGTCCGCAACTACACCAGATCCGGTAAACGACTGCAGACGTTTCCTGCCGTGGCAGCGGGTCTTTTGGCCTCATGACTTGACGCCTAATAGTTGCTTCCGGCCTGTGTGCAACCCCAACTCCAAGTGGAGTGAGAAGACGACTGACGGCTTCCGAGACGTTCTTCACGTACGGAAGAGCCCGCCAAAATTTGGGGCTGGTTGGATTTGGTCTCTGGTGTCCTTTTCGTATGCACTGGTTGACAAAGTTGCGCGGGTAACTATTGGCTCTCATTACCCGTCGAAGATATTGTAATTCAGCAACCTTGTCTTCCATTTCACTACAGTGCGTCTCAACGCGCCGGTATAGCGCCCTTATGCAACTGCGTTTGTGACTGATCGGGTGGTTGCTATTGAAGTTCAGTATTTGCGTCGTATTTGTCGCTTTCCTGAACACTTCGGTTTTTAGGCCACCACAATCTTTGCGGCAGACGAGGACATCCAGGAAGGCCAGCTGATT